TTACACCCCACCGGGTCAGCCCACTGTATAGAGAACACACAAAGCCGTGTGTGTCGCTATCGACGCAGACAATACAGCCGCCCCGATCTGGCGCGGCGTGCCCCGCCCTCCATAGAGACCGGCCGTATGTAAAGGAACGTGTACGGCGGTGGTAGATCGTATCATACGGCGGGGTTCGGTCGGCGGCGCGGTGCGGGGTCGAAACGGTCAACACGCACACCGCTGCTGCTCGCCACGGCTAACAGATACTAGAAACGACCGCAAATGGAGAGCTGTTCGTCTGCAACCATGCTCTGCTCGTTTTCCTGCCGGCGCAGAGCAGCTGTGTTTTGCAATGGCCAGAAAGTTGTCAGGTTCGTCAGTGTTTGCTAGAACCAAACGCTGCACTAGCCGTGAGCAGGTTCCGTTATTCACCAAAGATCAGATACGCTCCGTTCCGTCGATTCCATCCTCAGGATACTCAAATCCTTCTTTTCCACGCCTCAAACCTATGTTCCGGGCTTATCCCATGCGGGAAGCTCCCCTTGGAGCATGCGCGTAGTCGGGTATGGACTATGTTGAGTGTCGGGGAGCTGGATGACCTGTCCATTGCACAATGGGCCGGCGGACGCATTTAGCGCGACAAAAACACATTTTCACCTGTTAGAGCCTTTGGGTGATTGAAAGCGAATAATATTCACATGAAAAGTCTTTGGATGTTGTAAAAACGTTTTCGGGACACACGAAGTAAATTGTATGCTTAAAATAGCAGTCCTGTGGTACAATATTCATTGAAAATACTGTGAAGTGTGAGGTCGCGGATTTCATCTGATGCATTGTCAGCAGTACAGGTATGAGCAGTAAAGCAGTACAGTTACTAATGAAATACGTGAAATGTTTATGCTTCAACCCACGCCCCGTTGAGGTCTGGCAGGTTCCACGTCCTGTTGGGGGGGGGGGGGGGCAAAGGGCCCCCCGTCGTATCTCCGTAACCAATAGCCGGATCGGAACAATTCAAACGGCATTCGAAAGAGCTTATCGAGATGCACAAGATATGATATTGATGGCCTTGATATTTCACCTTTCACGTCACAGGAAGGTCAAACAAGGTCAAATCAGTTCAATTTACAATGACGGAAAGTCGGTCATAAAATGAAATCTGTGTTTCCAAAATGAGTCTGGATATGATGTATATGATACCTAGATCTGGCGTGTGGATAGTTACCTGAATGGATGATGACCTATGACTTCACAACAGAGGTCAGCCTCGACCAATCAGAAAACACTTTTGTGAATCGTAAGGAAAGGTATGTTAAATTGTGAATATTCGAGTCTTTCTGAAGACATGTCATATATATGCAGCCATAGAAACCTCCTTGGCCATTTTTCCTGGACCTATGACGTCACAGGAAGGTCAAATAAGGTCAAATTGTACCGGTTTACAACGAAAAACAATTGTTTACGTAAAAGTGACTTCAGTCACTTAAAGGATCATATTCAGACAGGAAGAAGTTAATAAGTGTCATAAATATTACTCCTGACTGATTTCAAGCACAAATATTGAAAATATTGTGACGTCGTAACTCGTGAGAACAGTCGCTACTTTTTCAGTCATTCAAATTGCTATATCTTTGGCAGTTTTAGCGATATTTTTTTGATTTTTTGGCATGTGTAAGGCCCGTAAGGAGTTCTCTGACATACATTGTTTTTTTTTGAAAATTTCTCCTAATTTCAAAAATATCCCAAGAAATCTAAATTTTGAGTTAGAAAGTCCCTAGATCTAGGGATTTTTATATTTTCGAAATTTTTAGATAGCTATTTTGTTTGCCATGCTGTTTAATACCTCGTAGGGTCAGCGACATGACTCGTATCGCCCAAGGCGCCCGCCCGCCCGCGTGCCTCGGTGCGCGGGCGGCCGGGTTGGGCATATACGCGCCGTACAAAAATGGTTATAATCCCGAAGATCGCAGGGCAAAGCAGCTAAATTTATTCGCAACTTTAAGGTAAACACTCATATCAACTAAAAAACAGAACTACGGCGTGGGATTCCGTGGGACAGGGCTGCTTGAAAAGAAAGGCGGGATTTTATAAAGCATCGTTCGTAACCTCTGACAAAAAATGCATGAAGATATTGTGCAGAGGAATTATGCAAAGTGAAATACCTATCTCTGTGTTGATTATGTCCTTGGTCATCGTAAAACTTCAAAACATAGGCTTACTGTCGGATAGTTTCTATTTGATAAAGCGACGAACACAGCGCGTTGAACTTAGCAGATTGGCCGGCATGTGATAGATGGTAAACATTTTCCAAAGTTTGGCTAATTTTAGCGTTAATGGCATAGTGCCAGCAAGCTAATTTTTGTATTTCTGAATGCCCCAGTCATTTCTTAGTTAAAAAGCATCGTTATTGTATATTGTTGTCGGAGGTCACTAACATGATTTTTGTCGCGCTAAATGCGGCCGCCCGCCTTTTGTGCACTGGATGGGCTCAACCCTGAGGAGTCACCAGGGTGCCCGCCCAGACCAATGCCACCTCCCCCCCCCCCCCTAATTCCTATCATCCTCCCGGCTCTGAAATGGCCTCGTTAGACCGAAAGAACCTAGCCCAACAAAACAAACAAACAAACAAACAAACAAACAAACAAACAAACAAACAAACAAACAAACAAGCAAACAAACACAGCTCAGACCTCACCGCTAGAGGTCGGTTTTAATCGGGCAGGCCCTGTAAACATTTCAACGCCCCTTCGTGAAACGGCTGAATGTCACCCCATTGATTGACGTTCAAGTAGAACGTATATGTAGCGATTTACTTACATAAGCATAACGTAAATTGTACCCTTGAAGTCACCCTGCAGCCCGGTGCGGGGAGGATTACGCCGTCGACTTGTCCAGAATTGTCCCCCGACTCCAGTGCGTCGCTGTAGCTGCCTTTGACACCAGCGACCCTGCCGCGATACCCGTGCCGATTTTCCCCGTGGGTTACATGATTGAACAGGATCTATGAAACGAGGAAAACCGACGCGGGCACGGGCGGATAGGAATGAGTAGTGGGGAAGGGAGAGAGAGTGGGAGGGAGAGGGAGAGAAAAAAAAACAGAGAGAGACATAGAAAAAGACTGGAAGAGTGAAAAAGAGAGAAAGAGACGGAGGGGAGGGAGAGCGGGAGAGCGGGGAGCGGGAGAGCGGGGGAGAGCGAGGGAGGGAGAGGGAGAGAGAGAGAGAGAGAGAGAGAGAGAGAGAGAGAGAGAGAGAGAGAGAGAGAGAGAGAGAGAGAGAGAGAGGGAGAGAGAGAGAGAGAGAGATATGCGAGGTCCTGCCATCGCTCTCTTTGGGAGTGACGAGCTCACAAATGCCATTCGACGTGGCGGCAACACCGGCATTTACGCCCTGCCTAATATCAGTCCATGCGGTCTCCGTCCATTGTTACCGAATGGCGAATACGGGTGACAAAAAGGCCGTGAAAAGGACGGAAAGAATGGAAAACGCGCGAAAGAACGCTGGCGAAACGGCACAAAACAATGCGCCATAAATAGGCAGATTTGTTTTCAATTAATGAGCTGGTGAGGTGCAGACTGGCTTTTACGTTCCAGGAAATCCCAACATCATTGGAAACTTCATATTTCTGATCAAAGGAAAATAATGTAGAAAATAAGTTCAAACAAATGTCCATGCCTAGACCAACTCGCAAAACAATAAGATGCTCAGTATAAATAGCATTATAACCATGAGTCAGCGATGCGATGGTAATATCCATTCCAGACTCAAGAATCATGCTAGCATATATCGGCCTTGTGATAGCCTTGAATTATGTGTAGAGCAATTGACAGAATATGTCTGTGCAGTTGTGTTTACTGTTAAGTGTTAGTGTGAGCAATGTTTGTTTAGATGGCAAAAGAGTCGTCGAACCAAATCTTTGAAACCATTCCGGCAATGCTTTTATTCTCGCTACATTTTATTGTAATGCATCGTCCGAAAACGCGAAAACTATTGTCAGCTGCAGCCTTAAGTGAGAGCTTTACTTTCCAAGATCAGCATTGTAAGAAATATCACTGTAAACCTTTTTTCAAGTATTAAATCATAACTTGATTCTGGTATAGATATATCTTTATTGAGAAAGAGAAATATTGTTTACAGTTAATAAACTTTTCCTTGAATAATACAATATAGAAAACGATAAACAAACGTTTAGAAGCGGAAAAATCAGGCGGATGTGTTGATATTTTCACGAAAACCGAACACACAATCGACCTGTTCAATTGTACACAAGAAAGGGATGCACCAGAATGTTCGATCGGTGTATCAGAAAACGCATTAATTCACTGTAAAACATCTTAAGCAGCAATATACAATTGCATAATATCAGGAATATAGGCTAGTGACAAGTGTTAAATCCGCTTTACGCTATCATTGTTAGCCCTCCTACGATGTCTTTGCATAATGCATAGTCAGTCGCAGAATCGTCAATACGTACTATCGATTTCCGTCATTGTAACGGTCAATAGGAGGCAATTGGCGCCTTCGAGCGTGCGCACTTCTAGCGCTGCAGGGATGTCGCGACTCGTCAGCTGCGTAGCGCGCGTGGGAAAACGCTGCGTAATGCATGTCCTTCGCTTAGGTCACCGAGACGTCCGTTCCTGGCTCCAGTATCGGTTCCCACGCACGTCGGGATAGGATACCACACATGCTGGTCTCATATTTCGTGTCCAGTAGATCGCAAACTGAAGCATTTCAACTCTCCAATTTGCGGAGTTTACTCGAAAATACTTTAACTCTTCGCAAATCAAAGGTGATTTACCAAACGGACACCAGTCCCAAGTCCTGGTCCCGTCATTTCAGACCTCGATTCCATGTCTCATATACACCAGTCCATGCTTCGTTCTTATTTCCCATGGATACTTGCCCTATGTCGCACATACGTCGGATCCCATGTACTACAGACGCCAGCTCCCCATATCCCCATCTCTCCATTCTTTCATCCCTATCCAGTTCCATACCCCGTAACCCCGTCCCAGGACCCACCTTTCCCGCCGCGGTGACCAGCACCACCATTTTGTGCGTGTTGAAGCTGTCCCGTGTGAGGTGGTTGACGTCGGCGGCTCGGTCCCGGGTGGGCCGTACCACGCCAGCGGCCAGGGCGGCCAGCTGGCCCCACTGGGAGCTCATCCGGAGCAGCAGAGCAGAGATCGGGTCCGCTGGACAATGGACATGGAACACAGAAGGACGGGGTTAGATACCTTTCACTCAACAGCTAGGTGTAGTTACACTAAAAAAAAAATGAAACACAGGTAGTAAAAAAATTCCCATACATCATACTCGTTAATTCACGTCAGGTGACTTGACGAACGATTTATCGTTAGCTTATAAACAGTCAAGCAAGAAAAAACGCTGTCTCAGTGAAAGACTGGAAAGTGCACGGTGCATCCCAGCTGTCCCAATCGGTAATGATGGGATGTGTGCTGTCCACTGTCCAATCCAGCATTGCTGAGTTTTTAGACCGGCTGAGTGCAGCCGGCTGACTGCACAGCTGAGTAACACTATGCAACAAAAAATGAAAGATTTTCTGTTCCTGGAAAGCGACCGAATTTTTCTTATTCATTGGGTCCTATCATAACCGAAATGGGCATTTGTTTTCATCTGAAAATGCTTTTCCGGTTTTCAGAGACAGTTTCGATTTTTGGCCCCGAAATTCGGTTTTTGGCCCACCGTGTCCGGTGTAATTGAGTAATCGACTCGTGGTAACTTTCATCGCCTTTCCTATGCCACAAGCTTTCGAATGATATCCGGTTTTGCATATTTGCGTGTAAAAATAACGTCATAAATCTATGTTAAAGTAAGAAAATGTTGAAATTTTGTAAAAAATTGACATTTTTTTCGATTTCATTTCAAAATAGAGAAAAGAACTAAGGACCCTATCCAAATTCTGAGCCCAGTTCCTTGAAGAGCATTCAATTTCCGTTCGGAAGGTACTTTTTTAGTGCATTTTATCGGATTCCTGTGGCGTCCAGATTGAGTTAACCTAAACATATATCCTAGGTCATATAACATAGCATTAAACTGATAACGTATGTTAACGCCATAGGGTCAACGAGGGGTCAACTGAGGTCATGTTGTTGACCCCTTGTGACCTCGGGTCACACGCAGGAACTTACTTTTGAGCAGTCCTGTCGCTCAGAATCTTGATCTGTACCTCCATTTGTTAGAATGGTTCTTCATGCACTGAACACATATTGTCATGGAAATGGCTGGGGGCCCGTTTTTCCAGTGACTCAATCTGGACGCCACCGGCCACAGTAAACCGATAAAATGCAATAAAATAGTACCTTCCGAACGGAAATTGAATGCTCTTCAAGGAACTGGGCTCAGAATTTGGATAGGGTCTTTAGTTTTTTTTTCTCTATTTTGAAATGAAATTGAAAAAAGTCAAATTTTTACAAAATTTCAACATTTTCGTACTTTAACATAGATTTATGACGTTATTTTTACACGCAAATATGCAAAACCGGATATCATTCGAAAGCTTGTGGCATAAAAAAGGCGATGAAAGTTACCACGAGTCGATTACTCAATTACACCGGACACGGTGGGCCAAAAACCGAATTTCGGGGCCAAAAATCGAAAATCGTCTTTGAAAACCGGAAAAGCATTGTCAGATCAAAACAAATACCCATTTCGGTTATAATGACACCCAATAAGTTAAAAAAATCGGTCGTTACTCAGGAACAAATTGACTGTTGCATAGTGTAATGAGCAGTGAGCAGTGAGTGAGGCTCGACTAAGTACGACTCGACTAAGTGCGTCCCAGCTGGGTACGCTTCGACTGAAAACCGTCTCAGCCGGGTAAGTCTCAGAATCAGCTGCCGAGTACGCCTAAAGTAGGACCCCGCCGACCGCGCGCTGCGTCCCCTCACCGGCCTGGTCGCCGAACTCCTCCTCAATGCTGACTTGGTTGGCCGACATGGGCAGGTCCACCACCTCCACGGCCAGGATGGAGGCCAGCGACTCCTCGCGGGTCCACAGAACGCCATCTGACGGCAGAGCGTGCAGAACGGGGGTCAGCGTCTTAAGTGAGACATTAGCATGCCGACAAAGACCCAAGGAACACAAAGCTTTCGCCACCAATGAGCCCAGCCAAAAGCCGTGCGGCAGCGTACCACACCACCCGCCTCCGTTATAATCCGGCCCTCTCAGTAGCCTCACCTCCGAGCTGGATCATGGTGACGGCATCATCCGACCCGACGAGCAGGATCCGCGGCGCGGCTGAGCCGGGCGCAGTCAGCACGTGACAGGCGTCCACCGGGCCGTGACGGGTGGAGAGCTGCAGTCGGCCGGTGGGAGCCGACGTCGGTCCGCCAGACAGGGAGACCGACTCGAACTGCACCGCCTGGAGGCGGGTAGTACCGAGACAGCGTTAATACCTAATAGCTACGTATCCATGACAGGTTTAAATCTAAATCGATTTAGAACTGCAGGGAAAGCCGGCTTGTCGCGACTGGAGAAAGCAGCAGGCACACCGGCACACAGACACAGAGACGATATGTAATTGTAAGTACTGCACCACTTAAAGGTAGTGTGCCACCTTCCAATGATTTCCCATTTTATTTTTCCTAGGATAAGAAGCTTCTGTTTTTACCTAATATCGCAATAAAAAATCAAAAATGGGCCTGGAATAGTCCTTTTTTCGCCTAAAAGTTTATCGGTTTTTCGATATGTATAACAACTGTAGTGGGCTGACCTGCAAACAGGCGTCGGCAACAATCGCGAATGCGGCGCACATGTGAAAATAAGCAAAGGTCATTATAGAGTTATGACGTACGGGAATGAGTTATCAGCTGTCTAATCGTAGACAACACAATGTCGAACTTAAACTGTAAGCCTGTATTGGTATTGTTTCTTTAATTTGGCTGTCGAACATTAATTTATGGTTTGAAATGTGATTTTATGTAAAATAATTGATATGAAACAGCCGTCTCTTAAGTTATGACCCCATCTCACCACACGAAAGTGGCAGAAATGACAATGATCAGCTGACGCATTTTCTTGGCCGAAATCAGAGCGCGCGGCCCGACGCACCACCACCGCACCACAAAGTATGAGCAGAAGCCACCTAACAGGCGTGATCGAAACCGCAGGAGATGATGATGAACGGGTTTATCGAAACTTGATTGGATGAGCCTATCGGTAATAGCGATTTTAGTGTGTGCATTTATTGCTCATAGTGGTGTGAAATGTGGTTGGGGTACGACCGACAACCCGTCGGGGCGAATTTCGCACTGGGGTACTCAAAATTTGAAGAATTTAAGACGTTTCCATGAGTTTTGAAGGTATGAATAAGTTCTAAAAGTCCGGTTCTTCTTATCCGGGTCATTAACTCCATATGGTCCAGGAAAGCTGGCACACTACCTTTAACCCGCGCCCCGTAGGGCTATCGGCGGACCCTACCACCCGTAGGGGAGGGGCCGTTTCGCCCCCCCCCCCCCCCCCTAAGATCTCGGAAATTTACCGGCCGATTTTCAAAATTCAAACGGTGTTCGATAGGCCCACCGGGGAACTACCTTGTGACCAAATTTCATTGACCTAGATCAAACTGATGACGTCACAGGTCACGTCAAAGGTCGGATTTTCACCGTTCACAGGCATTTCAAGAAATGTGTTGTGAAATCGAGTAAATTGGTAATTTATTGAAAACCATCGATGGTACATTGTTCGTCAAACACATACTTTACTATCTGAGGTCACTGATACCATGTCAGGTCACAGCGAGGTCAGGTCACCGGGGGTCACAATATGAAAGTGACGTGTGAATATACATGTTTTATGGTCCATTTTACATGACAAATGCGATTATGTGGGTTAGGCAGCCTTTGTGGCCAGCCTGGGTCACATTTTGGTGAAGGTCAGGTCAAGGTCAGGTCAAATTAGGTCAAATTTCAAAGTTCATATTTTTGCATAAAATGGGTATCGATTCGATGCAGCTCGTCACGGGGAGTCTAATGGTGGTCTTTGTTCTGCTCTACGAGGTCTAGAATTGCCAAAAATTGAGTTTGAAAATTTGACGTCATCATTTTTGAACAGTTTTTTCGCTATAACTTGGCCAAAAAAGGAGGTATCGATCTGAAATTTGGTATGAAGATAGAAGACGGTAGGTACTATCACATATATTCCGGTTTTCTCGAAACTCAAAAAACTTTTTTGATTTTTTGGCTAATATATCCAAAAAAATGCTTTTTTATTTTTGGGGGTCAAAACTCAAAAATCTCAAAAATCCGAGATAGCAGTTTTGTAGCCCTGTCAATTCAACACCTTTTATGTTAGATCATTTTTCTGTATCTTCAAAGCTGTAGGCCTGACAGGTCTTCTCGCGAAGGTCTTTTTTCGGTCGAAAATGACAGAACATGACGTCACTCTGACGTCATTTGTGGTCAACCTATCATAGCCTCTGGAAAAATTTTTAGTCACAATGTGTAAAATTGATGACCGGAGGGGTCCTGAACGTTAATTGGTATTGACCGTCAGCCGTTTAGGAGATATTGACGGAAAAGGACAGGGAGGGGCCGTTTCGGCCCCCCCCCCCCACGGGGCGCGGGTTAAAGGAAATAATATACCCGCACAATCTACGAGGACTGGCAAGACACACCCACCTAAGACTATCGCACGGAATAGGGGGGGGGGGGGGGGGGTGCAACATTTAAAACACGCATCCCATCGAGCCAGTCTCAAAATGCGTCGCTCGAGGAAAGGAAGATAATGCATAGAATATAGACAGATGGATGCAATATATCGAATTGGGGGAAAAACATACGTAAACAGAGTCACTACATTTCAGCCAGACGCTACAGATTACCGACTTGGACAGAGCCCGTGCCCGCCGGCTGTCCAGTGTCCAATCCACTCACCGGCACCACCTTATCCTGTTTGTTGTTTCCCACATAGATCGTCTGTCGTCCGTCGGGCCCGCTCAGACAGGCCATATCCCCGGCGCCCTCCCGGACCGTGGTAACGCCTCCCGCGGCGGCGCGGAGCACCGTCAGCCGACCGGCGCCGGTGGCCGAGTACAGGTCAGAGCCGAGGTGGCGGAGCTGGGCCGGCGCGGCGGCGGCCGGCGGTAGCGGTACCGCGGTGATCTCTGAGCGAGCCGAGCCGACCGATAGGACGTACAGCTGGGAGGAGTGGCGGCAGAGCAGCGTCTCCCGGCCGGACACACAGCTGAGGGACAGACAGACAGACAGGTGAGTAGTCAGTTACAGCAGCGTCTCCCGGCCGGACACACAGCTGATAGACAGGGAATAGGCCAGTTGTCAGTACAGCAGCTGTCTGAGATAGACTGACACACAGATCACACACAACTGACAGACAGACAAACAGGTCAGTAGAGTCAGACACAGCAGCGTCTCCTGGCCGGACAAACAGCTGACAGACAGGGAATAGTACAGCAGCTGTCTGAAATAGACTGACACACAGATCACACACAACTGACAGACAGACAAACAGGTCAGTAGAGTCGGACACAGCAGCGGTTTCCCGGACAAACAAACAAATGAGGCCAAAAGGACAGACGGACACATTATTTAAGCTTGTTATTAGTAGCTCGTGATGTATGAAAACAGCTTCACTGTCATATAATGCTTCCTGCATCCGATAAACAGAAAAAATACGCATTCAACCAGCCCGCAGCCTGCTACAGCCTTATCACCGTACGCAGTCATCGCAGAGCCGCATTAACTGCGAGATTTTACACCACACTACATCAAATAAAAACAAACAACTCTACACAAACTTCCGCACACAGTCCTCAAAGACCCAGCATCACCCGTACGCCACTGACCTGGCGCCGTCGGCCCATGGCGTGTCCAGGCTCTCCGTGGTGTGCTGGTCGGAGCCCACTGACATTCGGTGCAGCTCGGACCGGGGCGAGGAGAGGTGGACCACCGCCAGCTCGCGGGCGCCCGACGACAGCACGAAGGTTTGTCTGGGGACGTCCGACCGGTTGGGAACGGTAAGAGTCTGCATAATACCCCCAACGAAAAGCATATCATTTGGAGGTTTGCGTTGCTCCGGTGCATTAGTTGCGACGTCACTCGCAACTTTGTGGCATTGCCAGTCACCATTTGAGGCTCATCAGGGCAGGGGGCTAAAATGGCATCAGCTACATTTAATATGCCTTGCTTTTATCAATTCAAGTCAAAAATATGACAGAGTTTGAAAAGCGATACGAAGAAATCAAAGGGTGTCTCTGACAGCTAGACCGTGTTGGGCGGCCTCCCTTCCCTCCAGCCCCGTCACCCGTTGGTCTCACCACCTGGGAGGCCAACAGCGGTCTCTCCCACCTCCCCGTCATCCGTAAGTCTTACTCAGCACTATCGGGGAGGTCGATCCCCCCCCCCCCCTCTCGCTCCGTCAAACAAACGTCTTACCCGGTAGTCTCAGGGAGGTCGAGCGCGGTCTCGGAGACCAGCTGGCCGGTTGGGGCGCTCCAGACCCGGACCAGGTTCGGTCCAGAGAAGGTCACCACCTCGCCGTCCGAGTTGAGCAGCAGCCGCAGCTGGCCGGCGGCACCCCGCTCCAGAACGCGGCGCCACAGCAGAGCGCCTGGCCGCAGAGAGACAAACACGTCAGAGGGACAGCAAAGACGTACACACGTCATAAGCTCGGCGCAGAGGAAAACGTTAACACGCTCGAATACATAAAACAGTCTCAGGCAGACGATACAGACAATACAGGCTATCAGTCAGCCAGTTGCGGCCACTGCGCCCCGGCGACGTAATTCCCGACCTCTCTGCTGAGCGCACCTGTCTGATGGTTGAGCGCGGCCAGCACGTTCTGTTCTGTGGCCACCACCAGCGGTTGTGACTCACTGGAGAGCACGAGCTGCGGCCGACCCATCAGCTGCTGGTGCCTGCACGGAGACGGCGGCATTGGGTCAGCACAGCACAGCATGACACAGTTCAGAATGACAGCACAGTACAACTGACAGCACAGCAGAGCAGCATGGGGTGAATCAGCATGGTACAATTTAACAGCTTTAGCCTATACCTAGTATGATAAATCATTTTCCTGGTAATGTTGCTTAAATACCCATATTAGAAACATCTTAAGTTAAATACCATGTAAAAGAAAAAAAACAATGCAGAGGTTCATAAGATACATTGTTTCACACTTTTACAAGTTAAGTAGGACCTACTAAAGTTCACTGCACATTAGTTCTACTTCATTAAAAGAAAGCAAGAGAAGTTGCAGCACCATTAGCATGTGTCAAATGTGAAGTTATATGAGAGCAAGAACACTTCACTAGCATGAAGGGAACAGTTCTGCCGTGCAAAGGCAAAAACGCATAACTAACAATTTTGGCAAAATTTGTTTTTTTATACCATTCGATTCCTCTCTATGAGCTACACATGTTCATATCAATATTAAAGTCTATACGTCATTTAATAACTAAATATTTCATATATAAGTTTGGAAAAAGCACACACACCACAATTAGACCGGCATCCACAGAGGTAAAAACACATAACTTTTACATATCTACTCCCTGCTGGTAATCGTCTGGATTAAATAATCCTCCTCCCAAAACAAAAACGCATATCTGTTGCAGATATGCGTATTGTTGGTCTCCGTGTGCAATAATGTCTTTGCATTCCCAGACAAAAACGCATATCTGTGTAGATACGCGTTTTTGGCTTGGTAAACAGTGAACGAGCAACGTAGATGTGCGTTTTTGTCGTGGTGGAACGGTTCTCAATTATGTTCATTCGACGAACTTTGCCCAGATATGCGTTTTTGACCGCTTCTCCTGAGCGGAGGTATCGAAGTGAAACACGTGATTCTTTTTTCGATGAGTGAATCTGCCGTGAAGAGGGAAATGCTCGTAACCAGCATTATCTGCGAATTTAAGTTCTTGCTCATTGGCAGTGTTGCCGCTATGGTACGATTGTACCAGATCTGGTACATTTCAACACTTTCTGGTACGCTGGTACACTGAGGCCCAAATCTGGTACATTTCACGGTTTCGCGCAAGCATTTCTTTTTTACGTGAAATTTATATTTATTTCTGCCTCCAAAAATCAATCAGAATCAATATTTAAACGATTTTGCTGTAACAGAAAGACCACTTAAATAAGCATCTTCCTAAGCATATTCTTACAGTTTTTTTTTTCAAAACCGGTTTGAATCCAAGTACATTTTTCGACTAAGCACGCGTTTTACCTAGCGAAACGACCAAAAACTGAGCTTGAGAAAATCGAACGTCGCCCACGGACGTATAAATAAACGTCTATAAATAAACGGACGTAAAATAAACGTTAATTTATACGTCCGTGACGTCGCCTTATTTTAACATGTGATTTATTCCCGATAAATTCCATGCGTACTTTTTAGAACTTAACATTGGAACAGTGATGATGTCATGCTGTCGATGCTGTCGAACTTGCATTGCAATGCAATGTATAACCAGTACCTATTAGGTCATGGACGGAATTGTTAACTCCGTTCTGACCTCGGAAACAATGAAACTGAAATTTTCCTTAAATTCGTCGACACATTAAGCCACCGTAGGAATATTAGCTGCCAGCTGCCACCAGTGACGTCATCATAGCATGATAATTTTTGAAGATACAATTTGCTTGTATTCAACGAGCATAATTTGAAATTGAATATTTTACCGGTTATAAATTATTGGCCAGACGCCGAAGTTGCCAAAACTAACGTGAGAGCTTCGATAATGAGCTTGGAGCCAAACCGGTGTTGAAAAAAAAACGAACTATAACTATACCTTAGCAAGGTATGACAAGTTACAATTATTGTTAGCCTGACTAGCCGCATTGATGACGTATTACGTAACATCAATGCGGTTAAAGCAAATCATATTATGAAGTGGATACGGACAGCAGATGTCGCATATATCCAAATATGAGCACCAAACACAGGAATTGACCGGAATTGATGTAGAATTTTGGTGATCTATGACGTTTTGGTGTATTTTATACAATGGTACATAACTTGGTACATAGGCATACCCCATATGGTACGAAATGGGTTCGTTTTGGTACGTTTTCACTCAGAATCTGGTACGTGTCGAAAATTCCCAACGGCAACACTGCTCTTTGGATTTCACTATATGATAATGAGGACAATGAGATGATAACATTTCTTTATCATTATCATGTTTTCACTCCCAAGGGCGCACACAAGGAGGGGGGAGGGGGCACACGGGCCCGTGCCCCCCACCATTCCATTCGAGTTTGGGGTCCCTAATCCTTAGTTAGACCGCCGAAGACCGTGTAAAAATGAGATGAAATAAAGATTGAAAAGACCGGGAGGGCCCATCTCGTTCGCCAGCAGTCTCATATGAGTCCATAAAATGCCCAGTAGCGCAGCCAGGGTGATTGTGGTGAAATTGCAATGGCCCTCAAAAGGCCTCAAAGGGCCCTCGGATGGCGTGACACTTGACAGGGTCCTCGGATGGTCTTGAGGGCCATCAGTTAGCGTCAAATGGCCCTCATCTGGTGTTAAAGGGCCCTCAGATGGCCTCAAAGGGCCCTCAGATGGCCTGAAAGGGCGGCCCTCAGTTACCGTCAAGGGGCCCTCATCTGGTGTCAAAGGGCCCTCAGATGGTGTCCAGGGGCCTTCAGATGACCTCATATGGCTCTCAGATGGCCTCAAAGGGCCCTCACCAACGTCAAACGGACCTCAGAAGGCCTTCAAGGGCGTCAAAGGGCCCTGAGCTGGCGCCAGAGGGCCCTGAGCTCGCGTCAAACGGCTCTCCGAAGGCCTTAAAGGGTCTTTAGCTGATGTCAGAGGGCCCCCAGCTGGTGTCAGAGGGCCCTCAGCTGGCGCCAAATGGCCATCAGAAGGCCTCAAACGGTCCTCAGCTGGAGTCCAACGGTCCTCAGCTGGTGTCAAGCGGCCCTCAAAAAGCCTCAATGGGCCCTCAGAAGGTCTCAAGGGGCCCTCAGAAGGCCTTAAAGGGCGTCAAAGGGCCCTGAGCTAGCATCAGAGGGCCCCCAGGGCCAGCTGATGTCAGAGGGCTCTGAGCTGGCGTCAAACTTAAAGAGCCCTTAGCTGGTGTCAGAGGGCCTCCAGTTGGTGTCAGAGGGTCCTCAATTGGCGTCTAATGGTCATCAGAAGGCCCCAAACGGTCCTCAGCTGACGTCAAGAGGCCCTCAAAAGGCCGCAAAGGCCCCTCGGCTGCTCAAAGGGCCCTTAGAAGGCTTCAAAGAGAACTCAAGAGACGTTAAACGGCCCTCAAAAGTCAAAAAGCTTGAAAGGGCCCTCTGCTGGTGGCAAAGGGCTCGCACCTGACGTCAATAACAGCCTTTTCAAAAACAGACCTGAGAGACCTTGCCGGGCCCTGGTTATCTGAGGGACTCCTACAGTTACCTAGGCCTCCGTTTACTGAGGGGGCCCTGGCTATATAAGGTGTTCCTGGTTACTTGAGGGGCCCCTGGGTACCAGAGGGCCCCCTTGTCACCTGGTGGGCCCCTGATCAATTGAAAACCCCTGGTCATCTGAGAGGCCCCTGATTACCTGAAGGGTCCCTGATTACTTGGGTTCAGTGGCATAGCCAGGGAGCGAGGGGGTTCGTGCCCGTCCTCGGGTTTAGGGTTCCTTCGAACCCGAGCGGCCCTGCGGCGCCAGTTGGTGGCAGAGGGTTCGCGCTGGCCGCGCTTCAACTCGGAAAGACACCACAGCGCTTGTGAGAGCACGTATGTAATTGGCTCCTATGTAGCCACAATCATCTCCATAAAGGCCCAATGCCGGTTTCTGAGAGACCTTGCCGGCCCCTGAGGGCCCTAGTAACGGCCAATGAGGGATCAGCTGCAATGGCTGCACACCAGTCTGTGATAGCCCCACGGCCCACAACAGTGTTTCTAAAAGCCACCACAACGGCACCTGCGAAGCTCCTCACGCCACCTCCAAGGGAACCACACCAGCGCATTTTAAGGGCCTACATCGGCGGCTCTGAGAGTCCCCACACCGGCGCCTCTGAGGGCAACGTACCAGTGCCTCTGAGGGCCTCTTACCACCCTCTGAGTGTCCTTGCCAGCCTATGAAGGGTCACTTTCCACTTGCAGGCCACTTTGCACGGCCACACACATGTCAATGATGGCCCCACCAGTGTCTCTAAGCCCTAAGACCCCACAACGGCGCCTGTGAGGACCCAACACCAACGCATCTGACGGCCTTTCACTGGCACCTCTGAGCGCGCCACACACCGGTGACTCAGAGGAGCTCGCTCGCTTCTCTCGCTCGTAAAATACTATGCACATTGGGCATGAGTGTACATTAGGGACACTCCTCGGGTATGAATGATATCTTTACTTGCCAATTTTCCACATTTTCTCAGGACAAAGACCGTTTTAAAGAGGCCCGTCTGCCAGTGGGACTAGACCCACCGTGCCACCCTCCCCCTTCCCATCGAAGGTCCTGGATATTCCTTGCCTGGGCTGACCCCGGGCCCCCGGATGACTCGCGGGCCCCTTCAAGAGCGGGTGACCCCTTCTTGGGCGAAATCCTGGGTACGTGTCTGACGTACATCGTCCTTTTGATTTGATTCATCGGTTAAACATTTAATATAAGTTATAAGCTGGATCTCTATTCTCTGGTCTGTGATCTCGCATCGTATCAGTTATAATGACATTGCATGTCGATGTGCCTAAATAAATAAGCGAATATACGTGAAAAAGAGTGCTGCTCCCGCTCCTACAAATCCGGCCCCTGCTTCCAGCCACCCGGGGCCGGTCGGCCGGCCGGCAGTCAGTCGCTGCCCGGGGCTGATTTCTGAGGGACTTCCAAAAACGCTTATTAATTGAATGTTTTACGTAATGACTTAGATGATTAGGTATATGTACCGACTCTGAGACTGAGTCCCCGTTGAAAAAACATGCCAGCGTAAAACAAATATTATGAATATTTTGAAAATTAAGCTGGTAGGTACCGAAATAATTGTTTTACATGCCTTCACAAAAGCTGAAGCTTCAACGCAAATAATTCATCCCGCAATTACTTTATTAGCGTGGAATGTTCAGACTTCAGTGCATGATTTCTTTCAGAAAAAATAATAATAGTGGCGCATGTTGCCGTGTAAGCATTAAGTCAATTGGCCCAAAACTTTGCTAATAACAAAAGTGTACCGTGTAAACTCGAAACATCCCGCCGCCTGGTGCTGCGGCGGCCGTTATCCTAATATACGGCCTTGGCCGTTATTAGCCGCCTAAATTATAGACTGAGCCGGCGCCGGACATTTCCGTCTTTGCAATGTGCTGTAACCGCTGATAATAATCGATTCTCGTCTAAACTCCAATGAAGCCTTGCAAATGTACTGGCAATTTAATGGTCAAAGAAATACGAAAATCGGCCGGTAAAATGTTGAGTTACGAGGGTTTCCCTATAGGGGAGAGATGTCATATTGCGCCACCTTAAGGATATCGGCCTATTGCGGCTAAAGATGACCAGCTGTCATGCTTGATGATATCTCAAATTGTACCTCAGTTATTTTGGCATCAAATAACAACTCCTAATTTGTATCACACCCAGAAAAATTAACAAGAGAAAAGTTTTCCGACACACCTGCAAAGGGCGCATTTACGGACTACCCCATCAAAAAGCGCCCATGCCTCTCATGTAAAAGCGCCCTATTAAAACAACGGTTTGCCACCTAACTAAGTAGCCTATTTGAAAGTGTCAGCCCATTAGCCATTCATGCTGTGAAGGCTAAGGTAATGGTAAGGTGAGCGCTCTAATAATCAAAGTGTTCAATGAAATGTGTCCCAACCACCAGATGCTGTTTCTCTGGGTTGAAGAATAGGGCGCAAATAGGGTGGGCGCAATTACGAATGGAACACATTTTTCATGAGCTTCAAATATGGCGACGACAGCGAAGCCACGGTGGTGATAAACTTTCAAAACTACCATTAAACGAGCAATTAACAATGATTATTAGTTGAATCACTATCTCTAAGATAAACCATGACACTAGCAAAGGTCGAAATAGACTGTTTCGCGTAAGAAAATAGAGGAAATCACAAAAAATGGTCTGCGAGAAAGCTGAGACACCTCACCTGCCCCCGTGGACCGGAATAAGAGCGAGTTATTGGTGGTGAAGTAAATGCACACATTCGAGTATTCGTTCGAATCGAATTTTGGGCAGGAGGAAGGTGTGGCGCATTTAAGAACATGGCGCAATATGACCTCTCTCCCCTACACAAAATTGTGGCTGAAACTCTTTCCGCGTCGGCTGATCCCGCCGTACCCGGAACACGTCTTACTCTTAGCACAGTTCCAACAGCCATCTTATGGTTGTATTAACTAGATTTTATCAATATGTAGGTACTTAAAAACGTATTTGCTATCATACAGTGAAAGAAATAAGAAAATTGGCCGCCAACTTCGGCATGTAAAAACAAAGTAGGCCCTGTGCCAAAATTTACCCCTGTTTGAAGGAACTCATTTGACCTTAAACACCCCCCCCCCCCCCGGAAGTCTGGAAACGCGCGGATAATGTGAGTTGATATACGCCGAATCGCGATTTCGGCCAAACACGGTCTTGAGAAATAAGTCACAGCTCAAAGGTCATTTGGGTCAAGGTCATCAAATTGTTTCGAGTAGGTGTAAAATTTCTAAACTCAATGGTGAGTAAAGTTTTGTTGCGATCAGCCGCTTTTTGCGCGAGTTATTCTCGAAAAACCGAGGGGTCCATACTCCATATGACCCCTCCCCCGCTCTACAAGTGCGAGGGTTAAAAGGCCTTTTACGGAACCTTTTTACCTTTTTACGGAACGAGGCACTTGCGTGAGGATCCACGACAGCGTCACAGCATTTAGGTATACCACCGCACAAACGTCTTGCCAGCTATGTGAATCTGCATCTCCCGTATTGATCACAGGGTGTGGTCAGTTACGTGTGCATATGCATTTACGGGCATACGTTTTGCATGCACGGAACAACAAGCGTATCATCCAATATGTTAGTTGTCTAGTTGGATAGGACGATTGTGGCAATTATGCACACCTGAATATACGTCTCTTTTCCAGCTAGCTGGTGGCGTCTGTGTCCAATGGCACGTGCGCATATCTCCCAATACGCGTATTTGCCTATAGTGCTACCGCCTTGTGCCGAGTGGCAAATGCGCATATCTACCGTTGTGTGGATTTGCCCAGATACGCGTTTGTTGTTGGCATGGCTCACCCCAGCAAAGAAAATATTGCAATGGCAGAAAAACTTTTAAGTAATTATATGAATATTTATTATTTTTTGACGATGATACGCATGTACATAGGTAGAGCGCGTTATTCTGTTTCGAATGATATATACATTGCTGCGCTTCTGGTCAATGGAAGACCACAATGACCGAAAAACACAAAATTCGCCCCTGTGTAAAATTTTGTGCTGACATAAAAATGTTAGATATGCGTTTTTGCCTTTGCACGGCAACAGAACTGATCCTGAGCATTGAGCAGGTTATTGTATAAATATGTAAGTCCCCTAAATCAAGACTTACCAGTCAAACTTCCCCGCTTGATCTTCATACAATGCTTGGACTTGTATCATCAAATACAGACACACTAAATATTTCAAGACAACCATGGTGTCTGTATGTCAGCTGACTAGAACAAAGACAGCTGAAAAGAGCAGGTTGGTCAATTAAACTTGTCAGGAGAGGTTAGGAGTAATCTTAAGTCATATGTGCATGATACAGTTTCCAAGAGCTGTCAAATAATGAGCTGACTGAGCTTCATCAAACATTTGACGCGTACCTGAAGACTGCAGTGGGCACGCCAGAGTATGTACAACTCTCGCAAGATTAAGAGGTAGGTTTTGAACTTTTACATTTCTGGTTATATCCCAGAAACTAATCGATCTGCAATGAAGCCATTTTACATGATCATGGCCGGCAATTATGAACCAACAAGTTGATTGCATCTTCAACACTTAAAAGCTTAAGACGACGAATATAAAGCCTGAAGTACACTTAATTTTCTGGGTGCAAAACCTACCGCTAAAACCTGCAAGGCCTGTACCTACCCACCTATACAGGACATTGGGACTCAAATGTTACATTCATCGATTGGTATGAGTTTTATGTTAGCCATTCTTGTCCACAATGCGCGCAATATTCAGATTCAAGAATGGCACAAGAGGATCAGGTCACAGTGTATTATAAATAAGAATAACCGCAGCTGGCATTTTTATTAGTAAAACCAAGGCATTGGCCTTATCTAATTCAAATTCAAATTGCAATGACAAATGATAATTCATATTTGAATAGTAAACTAGTCCTGTATGAGTTTGAATATATCATTCAATTGAAACAGCACACAGTTGAATTCAGCATAAACATGACAAAAACCAAATAAACCCCGGAAAGGAACACCGATGCCCTACATCAAGGTTAAGGATTGGTGAAGGACACCTCACGCCCGTGCAAGGATCGCCGGTGAAAACACGTCGCCGGAGGGCATATTTGGTCACGTGACTATTGAAAAGTTCTCCCCCTCTCGCTGCCTTTTACACAGTGATTGTCACGTGGTTTATGCGAGTGAATTTATAGAGCCTTGATCAAATCACCACATGTGCCCAGGCCCTTGTTTGTTTTGTTTTGTTGGGTTAGGCCCTTTCGGTCGACAAGACCATTGCAGAGCCGGAAGGATGATAGGAATTAGGGGGAGACATTGGTCTGGGCAGGCACCCTAGAGAGTCGCCGGGGCTGAGCCCGTTCAAATGGACAGGCCGATCAGCCCCCCAAGCACTCTCTGCACCCGGCTACGGGGTGCAGCTCCCTCGGGAGCAGCGGTGCCGCTCCAAGGGAGCAGCCCGCATGAGATAAAGTTGCCTGTCCAGCCCGGAGGGGGGTTGCGGCGTGGAGGAGAAGGATTTCTGATTCCTGAGGATAGAAGCACGGATAGGTGCCCAGGCCCTTTGTTTGTTTGTTTGTTTGTTTTGTTGGGTTAGGCCCTTTCGGTCGTCAAGACCATTGCAGAGCCGGAAGGATGATAGGAATTAGGGGGAGACATTGGTCTGGGCAGGCACCCTAGTGAGTCGCCGGGGCTGAGCCCGTCCAGAGGACAGGCCACCCAGCCCCAAGGCACTCACTGCACCCGGCTACGGGGTGCGCTCCCTCGGGAGCAGCGGTGCCGCTCCAAGGGAGCAGCCCGCATGAGATAAAGTTGCCTGTCCAGCCCGGAAGGGGGTTGCGGCGTGGAGGAGAAGGATTTCAGTATCCTGAGGATAGAAACACGGAACGGTGGCCCAGGCCCTTTGTTTGTTTGTTTTATTGGGTTAGGCCCCTTCGGTCGACAAGACCATTGCAGAGCCGGAAGGATGATAGGAATTAGGGGGAGACATTGGTCTGGGCAGGCACCCTAGTGAGTCGCCGGGGCTGAGCCCGTCCAGAGGACAGGCCACCCAGCCCCAAGGCACTCACTGCACCCGGCTACGGGGTGCGCTCCCTCGGGAGCAGCGGTGCCGCTCCAAGGGAGCAGCCCGCATGAGATAAAGTTGCCTGTCCAGCCCGGAGGGGAGTTGCGGCGTGGAGGAGAAGGATTTCAGTATCCTGAGGATAGAAGCATGGATAGGTGACCCAGGCCCTGTTCGGTCGCTGTTTTTATATCAGCGTGCTGTCGGTTTTCCCCATATAAGGAAGTTTTTGCTGGCGCGGCTTGGCCTCTCATTGGTCTAACGAATAGACCACTTGAATTCGACCAATGAGGAGCCAAGAAGCCGCAGCATGGTCGCAGCCTGCTGATAAATAAACGGGTTGCGAACAGAGCTCTGTTTTCACGTTTTCACCGTCGTCCGATTTTGTTTTTGTTTTTTTTTTATTTGAGGGAAAAGAGACCACGCGCTGCTTGTGGTTTATAGAACTGTCGACGTGTTGTGATTGGGGCCTTTTCGGTAGAATTATGTTTTCAAGATTTTATGTGTTAGTCTTGGACCTGGAAAGCTTCCATGTGTTTAGCTTCGACGAGCTTCAGCTTTGTGGCTCTGCTTTAGACCCTTTCGATCCGCTTCCCTGCTACACACATGGGAAGCTTTCGGCGATACTTCAGTTTTTTACATTGAAGTAGCACAATTTTGATGATGTTTCACTGTTTCTCCTTGGTCAATTACATAAAAAAACAGCTTCAAAACACTTTGATTCGCACCATTTACCGAAATATAATAAAGAAACCACCCTATCGTCAGCACGCTACGTCAACTGCCAGGACGCAAAATGGCGACGCTGTTTTGCCTCTGATGCGCCAGATATGTAACCTTAAATAATTGGATAATTAATTGGATAATTGGGCCGCGGCTGCCGCCCCTAAAACGCTAACCAGAGCCCTCGTCTCCCGGCTCACCCCCAAACTCACACATTAATTAATCGCGGTTACAGGGCTTTTTCCCTCGCGCCGTTTTGGCTTAGGTGCGAGGTTTTTGCCCTTTGCGTTAGGCGTCGGGTTTTTTATTATTTAGGACTTTTTCTCCCGACCATTACACCCCACAACAAGGCCCCGCCGGGGGGCTGGAGCCTAGAAGGTCTTATACCTTCTGTCAGTGCGATGAAAGCTTCCCGGCTCCATTACACTGACACCAGCTCACAAGTGTTCATGTCTATCATGTATTGTTAATAAAAGTCATTCCCACTGTTGTGTTTGCGACTCCAGACATCTCGGCTCTTTGGCTGTACACGTAAGTACCTCCCTTAGCTTTGGTTCCACATTAAGATAGGATCCCACGTTGTTTTTGCTACCGGGTTCACATAAACCGGTTTAACGTAACACTTGCTGCCCGGCGAAAATTGCCGGAGTAACTGCCCCCTGCTCGGGAATGGCACTAAGCCGACCGAGCAAAAAAAAAAAAAAAAAAAAAGGATACGACTACTAAATACAATATGCCGATAATAGACTATTTTCCTCCTAGGGGACACTGGGAAATCGGGGTTTTAGGGTGAAGGTGATTGAGAAACGTGTTTGCTAGCGACGCGAACCAATGATGTGGCCTTGGCCACAAATAGGGGATATCTTAGGTAAGGGTAAATGGAAAAATGTTAGGTTAAAGAGTTCTGGAATTGTCTCCAGGCCGGCCGAAGGCCGGCCTGGAGCCTATTCCAGAACTCTTTAACCTAACATTTTTCCATTTACCCTTACCTAAGATATACTCCTTTTCGTCCCTAGCGCACAAACCCCTGGAAACGTGGTAGGTTAGGTTAGGTTAGGTTAGGTTAGGTTAGGTTAGGTTAGGTTAGGTTAGGTTAGGTTAGGTTAGGTTAGGTTAGATTTGGTTTGAATCTAAAACCCCCCTCCCCCACCCAAAAACCCCGATTTCCCAGTGTCCCCTAGGATGAAAATAGTTCTTATTGTATTTAGTAGTCGCATCCAATTCTTTTAAATTACATATCTGGCGCATCAGAGGCAAAACAATGTCGCCATTTTGCGTCTCTGCAGGCACATTTACGTCTGGACAACGAGTTGCGGGGAAAAGTGCTGATTTTGTTGCAGTTTTAGGAGCCGGTGATTAGGCTGGATTTTTGGGTTACTTTTTCGTTCCGATTCATGTATTTCATAGTGTTTGGCTTTTGAATATTTTAGTTCTTTCAGATAAATATTATTTGCCTTACAAGTTTTGTAAAAACGTTTCATTTTTTTATAAGCCGACCTTCAGAGTCCTAATAATACATCAGCACTACAATCATTGTAAACAAACAAATGGAGGAGCACCACTTGGCTCTGTTCCAAGGCGCTTTTTAAGTTTATCTGGCGGTTCCCGTACTCTTGTACGTCGTTTTGTTGGATGTTTTGAATCCCTTAAGATTGACTTATATCATATTTAAGAAGCATGTGACTGAATACAATCCGAAGTATCCAGGAGGCTGACAGAGGTCCTGACTCCTGAGCAATATCAATATCAAGTTGAACTTGAAGTTATGAAATTTTGGTTGATAAACGCAAGTTAAACGGGCTCATATATCAGCAAGAAAAAGTAAAATTAAAAGAGCTTATTGGCTGGAAACAAGCTATAATATTGCAGATCTTGGAGCAATACTGAAGAGCGCGCTGAGCAGGATCATGCCAGAAAATGTTGACTGATGAGCGCACTGCGCATATTGATGTATTGGTATGAATATTGAATGATAACTTATCATATTTAAGAAGCATGTGACTGAATACAATCCAAAGTATCCAGGAGGCTGACAGAGGTCCTGACTCCTGAGCAATATCAATATCAAGTTGAACTGGAAGTTATGAAATTTTGGTTGATAAACGCAAGTTAAACGGGCTCATATATCAGCAAGAAAAAGTAAAATTAAAAGAGCTTATTGGCTGAAAACAAGCTATATTATTGCAGATCTTGGAGCAATACTGAAGAGCGCGCTGAGCTGACTGATGAGCGCACTGCGCATATTGATGTATTGGTATGAATATTGAATGATAACTTACAACAGCAAGATAAATTAGTACTATCAAGTTAAAAATCTAGAATGAATGGACTTCGGCAGCTTTACTATGCTTAGATGCTATGCAGATTGTAATGTGCATCAGCTACTCAGTGTCTGGCAAATGAAACATCCGATCATTCCATTGCTACTGGAGGAGAAAGCTTGGATCACTAAATCCCTTTATGTTGATTTTGATGTTAATCATTACTGTATTTCTTGAAAAATGGATTGTTATAAAATTGTCAATGTGACAATCCATGCAACGATGTGATCATATAATGTGTTCATAGTCATTCGTGATAGTGATTGTTGGTCCAATATACAATGGCAAAGCTCTCAGTCTCAGCGTTTCTTCCTGTGGATGGCCAGCAGTGACTCAGAGCTTAGAAGTATTAGTTTTCTTCACAGGGCTGGGATAAAAAGTACTGAGGGTAATCTTCCACCAAGGAACTCTACTTTCACATGGTATGAGATGTAGGCACAAGTAGGTAGGTGCTTAGTTCCTATAGTCAGCAGTTGTGTAGGTTTAGTCGGGTTAGCTTAGATTAGGCTATGTTAGTTTTTTAATTTGCCAAGTGTCCATAAAAATGTGACCTGAGCAATGAGCATACCTGAATAACCTGACAGCTGACCTAACCTCAATCATCACACATATTTGCAGCCTACCCAAGACCTGCATAGCAGTAGCACCCAGTTATAGGTAGGTACTCACCCTAACTCAATTTTACCTGCTAACCTTCAACTTGCCAATAGTTAGCTCACCTTGCCAAGCTGCATCCAGGGAAACAGTCAACTGAGGAACTGGCTCATTGGGTGGCTGGTGTGAGTCTGTGCATTTAAAGTGTTTCTTCTCTGAAGCTGCTCTGCACTGCTGTATGTCATGTTAGATGCTCAGAAAATGTGGGAAATGATAACTAAGCTACTTAAGTGCTTTGTTAATGCTCGAGACATGAACAAGTACGATCCTGCAGGGTACAGCTATGAGTTAGGTGCTAGGTGAGTATCTTATGT